TGATAAACCACAAATAGAAAATATTTTACATATTTTTGGTAAAATTTATTCGGCAAAATTTTGAGATAACGTCATCAATTTTTTGGGGGGAATCAACAGATATATTTTGATTAACAATTCACCAGGCTTACAATAACGTTAAAAGCTAAAACGTCTGCAAGATTTCAAAGTATTTAGTTTTGCAACTTTTGATTTATTTGTTAAAATAAATTGACTGATGCGTTTTTTGGGTCAATCTGTATAAGCAAATCCAAAAAATATGAATGCAATGATAAACCGCAAGCATAGATTCATCATATGTTGGACATTTTAGATAGGATTTATTCAGCAAAATTGTGAGCTGACGTCATCAATTTTTGGAGGGGATAAGCAAATATACAGTAGAACCTCGATAATCCTAATTAATTGGCAAAAAGGTGTGTTCGGATTAGCGATTTGTTAGGATCAGCGAATGTCCCAAAAATCTGAAAGAGAATTGAGTAACAACTTCATACACTGCTGAAAACAAACCTCAAGAAATAAACCTTACTTTTTTTAAACAGAAATAAAGTATTCTCAAGCAACGATGGATAATGGATACATTCGAAAAAAAAATACTCCGTGACCATAGACACGCCATCTTTTTGGAATCAACACGTCCGGATCTATATTCCTGAATTTTTTCAGAATTTTTAGATGACTTTTTCAAAAATGAAATATTCCATTATGTATTCGTATTAAGTATCCCGTATGCAAATTTCGATCCATTCTCGACTATTTTCGAAATTTAACTAAACATATTTTCTTGTAGATTGGGCCGCAGAAGTCACTTCTGGTTTTATTTCTTCGATAACTTAAACTGTTTTTCCAAAATCGTCCACTGAAATATCGCAATTTTTAAAAATTTCGAAAAATTCGCATTTCGTACCGATTCTTTCGAAAATGTTGCTCCGTGACCTTCAACACGGTATATTTTCGGAATCAGCATGTCGATATCCACGTCCCTGAATTTTTTTGCAATTTTTAGAGAACTTTTTTAAAAGTGAAATTTTTGACATTCTCGAAATTTAACTAAATACATTTTCTTGTAGATTTTGAGCTCTAGAACTCACTTCGGGCACCCGTTTTTCTGGAATCGACCGTTGAAATATCGACATTTTTAGAAATTTTCAAAAATTCGCATTTCGTATCGATTCTTTCAAAAATGTTGCTCCGCGACCATAAACTCGCTATATTTTTGGAATCCGCACGAAGAATTTTTAGAAAACTATTCCAAAAATGAAATTTTTTCGACTTTGTAAATAATAATCAATCATGCAAATTTCGACCCGTTTTTGACGATTCTCTAAATTTAACACTTTTTCTTGTAGATTTCGGGCCGCAGAAGTCACTTCCGGCCGCATTTCTTCGATAACTTGAACCTTTTTTCCAGAATTAGTTAATTTAATTCAGTGCATTGAAATATCGCAATTTTTAAAAATTTCAAAAAATTCAATACAACACGTACAGGAAGATCTTGCGTCATAAGGGTGGGTGGGCGAGGCTAGTACTTGTCAAGATAAGACTGATTTTGGCAGATGACCTAATCTTCTAAGAAAATAAAGGGTGGGTGGGTGGGGCTAGTACTTATCAAGATGAGACTGATTTTGGCAAATGATATATCCTCTAAGAAAATAAGGGTGGGTGGGCGGGGCTAGTACTTGTTAAAATAAGACTGGTTTTGGCAGATGACCTACTCTTCTAAGAAAATAAAGGCTGGGAGGGCTAAAAATAAAAAAATTAAAAATCAAAAAACGACAAATTGAAAAATCAGATAAATGAGAAATCGGAAAATTGTACAACTGTATAATCGGAAGATCAAAAACTGAAATATCGACCCTTTTTTCCAGAATTAGTTAATTAATACAGTGCATTGAAACATCACAATTTTTAAAATTTTCAAAAAATTCAATTTAACACGTACAGAAAGATCTTGCGTCATAAGGGCGAGGCTAGTACTTGTCAAGATAAGACTGATTTTGGCAGATGACCTAATCTTCTAAGGAAATAAAGCTTGGGTGGGTGGGGCTAGTACTTATCAGAATGAGACTGATTTTGGCAAATGATATATCCTCTAAGAAAATAAGGGTGGGTGGGTGGGGCTAATACTTGTTAAAATACGACTGATTTTGGCAGACGACCTACTACTCTTCCAAGAAAATAAAGGGTGGGTGGGCTAAAAATCAAAAAAAAAAAAAAAACAAATCTTATAAAATCGAATTCGAAAATTCCAGTTTTCATTTTTGTTAGTTTTTAGATTTTTCAACTTTTGAATATTTCATTTGAAAATTTGCAGTTTTTGTTCGGATTAAAGAGGCATCGACATCATATAGCTTCTGTTCAGATTACTGGATGTTTGGATAATCGAGGCTTCGGATTATAGAGGCGAACGCATTGGGGGTAATAATCATAACATACTTGAAATGCATAGTAAACTCAGCCCCATTAACGAACAATTGTCTGCTATTGCCTGTTAATGGTGCTATAAAGTTGCAAGTCAACTGATTTTACTATACTACATGTTGTTAATGTAGGGGAAAGGTGCCTAAAATGATCCCCCTAAGGGAGAAATTCTTTAAAAAATACAAATTATTATTATTCATGTAAAACTGTAGCATTATTTGTAAGAACATTGATTTATCTAGGTAACAGTATAAGCCAATTGGTGATTCGATAATTATAAAAAAAGTTATTAACGTTTTTCCAGGACCTTACAAAAGGATTATTTTAGGCATCCCCATAGGTAAAATGATCCCTCGGCATGGGCATAATGATCCCTTTGAATTTTGACCATAAGGGAACAGCATCAACAAGAAAAATCAAATCATGACATAACTGATAAATATTTTATTTCAAAAATTAACAAAAAAATAAATTCTTAAAAAAAAAATAAACAAAAAAAGTTTGAAAAGCACCGAAAATACGGGGTGTATAATTTCTGGATGAGTTTGAGACAATACTTTAGTCATCAGTACGTGCGAAGATAAGACTAATTTTGCCAAATGGGATACCCTCCAAGAAAAGAGAGGGCGAGTGGGCGGGCCTACTACCTGCCAAGATAAAACTGAATTTGGCAAATGATATACCCTCCAAGAAAAGAAAGGGTGGGTGGGTGGGGCTAGTAACTGCTAGGATAAGACTGAATTTGGCAAATGATATACCCTCTAAGCAAAGAGAGGGTGGGTGGGTGGGGCTAGTAACTGCTAAGATAAAACTGAATTTGACAAATGACATACACTCTAAGAAAAAAGAGGGTGGGTGGGTGGGGTTAGTAAGTGCTAAGATAAGACTGAATTTGGCAAATGATATAGCCTTTAAGAAAAGAGAGGGCGGGTGGGTGGGGCTAATACTTGCTAATATAAAACTGATTTTGGCAAATGAGATACCCTTTAAGAAAAGTGACGGCGGGTGACTGGGATTAGTACCTCTTAAGACTGAGAATTTCCCAAAAATAGAACACGAAAATCCCTAAAATTCTTTTAAATTATTTAAATTTTCCCGTCTTGAGAGGTACTAGCTCCACCCACCCTCCCTCTCCTCTCTTAGAGGGTATTTCATTTGCGAAAATCAGTTTTATTTTAGCAGGTAGTAGGTGGGTGGGGCTAGTAACTGCTAAGATAAAACTGGTATTGGCAAATGGTATTCCCTCGAAGAAACTAAAGGGTGGGTGGGCGGGGTTAGAGGATATGTCATCTGCAAAAATCAGTCTTATCTTAGCAGGTAGTAGCCCCGCCCACCCACCCTCTCTTTTCTTGGAGGATATGTCATTTGCGAAAATCAGTCTTATCTTATTAGGTACTAGCCCTCTAACAAGATAAAGGGCGGATGGGCCGAGCTAGTGCTTGGCAAGATAAGGCTGATATTGGCAAATAACATACATTCTAAGAAAATAACGGGCGGGTGGGTGGGGTTAGTACTTGCTAAGATAAAACTGATATTGGCAAATGGTATTCCCTCAAAGAAAATAAAGAGTAGGTGGGCGGGGTTAGAGGATATGTTATCTGCAAAAATCAGTCTTATCTTAGCAGGTACTAGCCCCGCCCACCCACCCTCTCTTTTCTTAGAGGGTATATGATTTGCAAAAATCAGTCTTATCTTAGCAGGTACTAGCCCCGCCCAATGATCCGGGATCATTTTGCCTCAAGAAAAAGGGATCATTTCGCCTTAGGTAGCATATCCGCATTCAAAAATTGTAAACTAACCTTCAATTTTTACATGCGGTAAAAAGATCATAACTAACCTACGACTGAAATGTATCTAATTCTGTCAAAACAACTACCACCGCTATAAGACCTTTCAAATGGAAGTAATGGACTTTTAAAATATATCTTACCTTAGATCAGAGGTACTTATTTTACATATTTTGGCACAAAACTGTGCAGAATACACAGAACGCCATCAAACTTTCAGAAGCTACTAATTACAGAGCGCTTAATCAAATGACAGTTATGTTTGGTAGATGGAGCCACAAATTTTCTTACAATTGATGGGAATCATTTGACCTGAGGGGATCATTTTAGGCACTTTTCCCCTAAGTGTTAAACCAAATCTATTTCTTTTTTACAGTCCTATTGAAAATGCCTAGAAGACTGAGGAAAATGCCTCATAAACTAACTGACATTTCACTTTTTCAACTCGCCCCTACATTGTTTTCAGTCATTCGTGGAGAAGATACGTATGATTTGTTTTCTCTTAGATGTTATTTCTTGCTTAAACTTTTGCAGAACTGTAAAATCCTTTGAAACCACAACGAATCAATATACCAATTATTATCTGCGTAACGTGCACAAAGAGTGCCGTCAAACTATTAATTTGCGAATACGCTGTTTTGGCAACATCCTGAAAAACACCGCTTGTTTTTCTATTCCTCGCTACAATCACCTTCCTAATTAAAAAAAGCTTGAAATACCTTCGCAAAATTCGATCTGCGCCACGGGTTAAATTTAACTTGAGTTCAGATAAAAGACCCCGAATATACTCACCTGGTTGCTGAGAGGGTGCAAGTCGACTTCATCACAGCTATCAACATGTTGGTCACGTCTAAGAAGGTCACGGGAAGATTCCGCATATTTCCGATTGCGGGTTTCAGTATCTCCCATACCCCAATCATCCAACAAGTACACCATCCCCTTCCTGTTGGTACGAACACACTCTTGAAGAGTTACTTCTTCGACAACGAATTCTGGTAAGAATCTGGAACAAGCAACGCAATCAGTTGGTTGCAATTTGCGGGAATGTAGCTAAATAAAACAAAAAATTTTGAAGCTGTCATTTTTGACAATTATAATTATCAGATTGGTCTTATTAAGTTTTTTATATTCTCGAAGAAGAAAAATTTCATGCTTGTATTGGTATACTTTATCGGGAGATTAATTCTCATGCGGACAGGAACTGTATTGTTTTTTTCATTTCAAAAAGGAGTAGTCAGTCGTGTTGACGACATACGATCATATCTACATTTTGGGGATTAATAATAAAACCATAATCGGAGAACAATTGCAATTCTTAAAAGACTAATTTAGCATACAAGTAATTCCATCTTGACACGTCAATGTAGCGATAGCAGTAAATGGATGCGTTAACAAAAACATTTGGTCTTAGGAGACTTGTAAGGTCACATTGTGTATTCTGAATACCAGGAAAAAAATTTATATTCAATCTAAACAGTATGTTTCATTCATGACAAAATTATTCGTCAAGCTTGGTTAAAATTTGCCTTTCCAAAGGACCAAAATTTTGAATTGCCAAAATTTTTATTGTACAACGTCGGCTGTCTGGTTTTCCTTCGTCGTTTTTTGGTATTTAGTAAGACAATATAAAATGCATATAGAACCATTTTCCCACCTTTATTTGAGCGCACCTCCGTCATCCATAACACAACCTTGTCGATTGTCTTCTCATGAATTGTTTACGCGCAAATGAGCGTCGGAATATTCATTCAGCACGAACAACACTCACTCAAATAGCACAGACAATAAATAACACTCTCATTCCAATTTACGTATCACACTCTGATCTATTTCGGGCCGCTATTACAAAATTCCACCCAATTTTATTGTCGCTGCTGTTAAAAATAAGGAAAGCAGGTCACCGTTTTGACCGCTTAGCTTGAAAAAGAGAAAATTTCACAAGGACCGAATTCTTTATAGAAGAGGTGTTGCCAAGCGTGGACTTCCCTGACCTACCCAACATCAGACACATAAAACTGAATTACCTTGAGAGATTGTAACCGAAATTATGTCATCGTTGAAGATAATCAAAGTTAAAAATTTCGGGATGCCAGCTGAACGATTTGGCAACGGGCAGAGATGATGTTTTTTTTTCTCTCCTGGATCTTGTTCCTGTGTGGTCGTGAATGTTATTACTAACTACAACCTTCAACGTGAAAATTTTTATTTTCGTGAACGATTTTATTTCCTGCCAGCCGGATTTGGAATTTTGGATAGGGACCCGCAAAATGTGCAGCATTTATTTTTGCAGTGCTGACAAAAGTGGGCGGAGTCGTTAGTGTTCGTCGTTGAACTGTGGCATTGTGCTAAAATGTGGGAATCGAACTTAAATAGATGTCAAACTCTTGGGAGCAAAAACAAACAAAGTGTCATTAGTTTCAACACCTTCACACGTGCTTAAATTCTACATTAGAAAAGCTTCCCTCATGTTTTTTTGGCTTAATGAACAAAATGAAATTCACTTCCTACTTCATTAAAAAGTGAACCAAAACTTGCTCCGTTCTTAATAGTCCAAAATAAATTCCTCATTCCTCAAATTCTTCAAAAATGAGTGCCGTCAAAAGTTGTGATGCCTCGTGCCGACTGCTGTTCAAAAAATAGGTATTTACGCAGCTGTACTTAAAGAAATATGAACATTTATCGATGGAACACATAAACAACCTAAATGCCAAGGAAGTGCCAAACTATTAGGTTTTTTGACTAAGTTATTTCAAAACACTAAAATCCGGAATGGAAACTACAGTTAGTTACGCTTCGAACTAACGAATTTTTAGAGCGAATTACTAAATATAAGAAGGAAACAAATGCACGGTGACTGACCTTTTCAGAAAATGAAAACTTGGCTACATTTCGGTTATAATCGTAACATAAAAGAAAGAGCTATTATTCTGCACCACATTTTACAACGAAATGGCGAAAATTGCTACCCGGGTCACTTTTTCAACGTGAATAGAATTGTCGCATACTAGACACTGGTGACCAATTTCGATAACAACTACAACGTAACATCTTTTTCACACAGTGTTACTGCTTCGGATTAACAGTTTCTTGTTGTTGAATGTCAATAAGAAAAGTCGTCTTTATAGACGACATGGCGGAAGCACGGAAGGAAGGACTTGGTTTCCCCAAATGTCATGGAGAGATTTGATTTCGTTACTGATCATTCGATCTTGGGAAACGTACTGGTGTTCCCCTTTTATATTTTTTAGATCAAACTTTAATCATATTTACACGTTATACTACTGTTACTGAATAAAGTTTATGCCTAGCCAACTTTTACAGTCAAAATTCTTTGTGCAACAGAAAAAGACTGTGTTATCAGCAGACTTCGGTATCGCGGAAGTGATGCTCATTGCCGTCCGATCGCCAGCGCTATTGCAGTCGTGGCCTACAACTTCGGGAATTGAAATGACTTTTCAACCTCACAATTTTCGTAGTGATCTTGATTAGATAAACCCTGAATTGCACAGTCGGGTAGTCAAATTTATCGCCGAACGTCCCGTCGTCGTATTTAATATTTGGCTGATTGATTCTCCGTCACTTCGGCTGTACCTAACTTTGGTTATCACTTCTAAAAACCAAACTATGATTAACTTTTAACATATTGTATCTATTGAATCAAACCGAATTTATAGTTGTTCTGAAAAATGTTTGGATATTATACTGTGACTTCACAAGCATTTTACAGCGGACTCCTCATAAAATTCAATAAGTACAAGGAATGAAATAATTTTTATTTGTTATTCTTACTTCTTAAAAATCTAGGCCAACCAAACGGATTTACCCGTTTTGACAAACTACAAAAAATACAGCAAGTTGAGTGACAATTCAATTGAAACCTCACTATATCTTTAATAGAACCATAAGACTTAGAAGCAATGATTTATCTACCTGACTATTCATGCAATTGTTTAAGGAAACATAGCGAATTACATTATTATTTATTTCTAAAAACTGATCAGAACATATTTAGCCAAGAAAGCATATTGAACACGTCCAACGTATTATATAAGTTATAACAGTTTAGTCTGCAAATTTTGCTCTTTTATGATTAGACCTACACACCAAAACTAGAAATTGAGAAATCAACAAATCACATGTTTACTTAACATATTTTAAACAAGATTTAATTACTAACATCAAATTTTTGATGGGGAAGATCAGTTAAATTTTGGTTTGCGTTTTACCATCTACATACGATTCTTAAAATATGTACTTATCTTCTATCTATTTCAATTTTGGGATTTTTAAATAATTCGACATTTAAATTTTTCGATTGATTTTTTAACTTTTCGTGTTTTTGATTTTTTATTTATTCGATTTTCCAAAATATTGCGACTTTTTAAATCTTACATTTTTTGATTTTTCATTTTTCGATTTAACGGTTTTCTTTCGATTTTTCGGATTTAATTTTTCAATTTTGAATTTTCCCATTTTTCCATTTTTAGCGACTTTCATTTCTCAATTTTTCGATTTTTTCGACTTCTCGATTAATCAATTTTTTCATGTTTAAGTTTAGGGATTTTTCAATGTATTTTGATTTTTAAATTTTTAAATTTCTCGCCTTTGTTTTTTTTTTAGTTTTTACTTATTCGATTTTTCAAAATATTGCGACATTTTAAATCTCACATTTTTTCGATTTTTCAGTTTTTTTATTTTTCGATTTGTTCATGTCTTGATTGTTCGATTTTTTAAATTTTAGATTTTTTACTTTTTCGTTGTTTCGTTTTTGATTTATTGCCTTCTCTTTTTTAGATTTCCTGGTTTTTCAATTTTTCGGTTTTTTGTCAAGTTCAAATTTTTCAATTTTGAATTTTCCCATTTTTCGATTTTTAGCCACTTTCATTTCTCAATTTTTCGAGATTTCGACTTCTCGATCTTTTAATGTTTCGATTTCGATTTATCGATTTCTCAGTTTTTAGATTATTCATCTTTTCGATATTTTCCAATTTTTCAACGTTTCAGTTTTGGGATTTATGTATTAAAATTTTTCGACTTTTCAATTTTTGGGATTTTAAATTTTTGGATTTCTCGATTTTTCGATTTTATTTTCTTTTCGATTTTTCGTCTTTCCGTTTTCTCGATTTCTCAAATTTTTAATGACTAAGTACTGGGATTTTTCAATGTGTATTTCGATTTTTGAATTTTTAGATTTTTCGACTTTTTTTTTATTTTTTACTCATTCGATTTTTCAAAATATTGCGACATTTTAAATTTTACATTTTTCGAAATTTTAAATTTTAGTTTTTCACTTTTTGGTTGTTTCGATTTCGATTTATTGTCTTCTCGTTTTCAGATTTTTCAATTTTACAATTTTCGATTTAACGGTTCTTTCAATTTTTCGCCGTCTCGTTTTTTTCCAGGTTTTTCAATTTTTTTGGAATTAATTTTTCAGTTTTTTAATGAAAATTTTCAATTCTGAGTTTTCCCATTTTCGATTTTTGGCCACTTTCACTTCCCAATTTTTCGATTTCGATTTTTCTTGATTTCTCAAATTTTCAATGTTTAAGTTTTGGGATTTTTCAACGTATTTCGACTTTCTTTTTTTTTATTTTTGACTTATTGGATTTTTCAAAATATTTAGGCATTTTAAAATTTAACACATTTCGATTTCTCAGTTTTTCGATTCGTCTTTTCGATTTTCCAATTTTTCAGCGTTTCAGTGTTGGGATTTATGTATTTAAATTTTTCGATTTCTTAAATTTTAATTGTTTAAGTTTCGGGATTTTTCAATGTATTTCGATTTTTAAATTTTCAGATTTTTCGACTGTTTTTTATATTTTGTCCTTATTCGATTTTTCAAAATATTTCGACATTTTTCAAATTTTCAATTTTTTGATTTTTCGATTTGTTGATGTTTTGAATTTGATTGTCCGATTTTTTAAAGTTTCAATTTTTCGATTTTTCACTTTTTTGTTTCTATTTCTCAATCTTTCAATTTTTCGCCTTCTCGTTTTTCGATTT